ATTAGGACAAAGTCTGACAAATTCCCGATTGGTTTATTTAGAAACGTTTCTCAGTATCTGGCAGTTTAATATGTAACTTATCTATACATTAGCTGCAAGCTAAGTGGGCTCAGCTGAGTTACTCACTCACTGGGATTTCCATTTTCCACACAAGCTATTACCCAACAAGCGGTCATCTCTTAGAAATATAGTTTCTTCAAATGATTGGTGTGGCCAAAGATGAACGTATGGGGACCAAGGCCACCACTGGCCACCCCCTGGCTCCTCCACTGCACCTGATGGTGGATAAAACCACTCGTTTCACTCACCAGGATCCGTCACTCTGCCTCGGATAAGAAACAAAACCTCCCTCTGTTCTTCAGGTTAACTCCTCCCCACTTGAATGTCTTGCATCAAAAACATTTAGGTTTACTTTGACTCCCTGTTCAATTCCAGAAAAACACTCATCTGGAAAATTGCATTCACACTTCAAATCCCTCAGTGAAGGGGGACACCGTTTGTTACTCTTTCTTTTTGTTTTTGTTTACTCCAGGTCTGTTGTGTTGTGTTTCTAGCAGATCTTAAGTTTTAGTTTGGAAAAAGTCTCGGTTCTTTTGGCCTCCGAGGTAAACCGGCCTCCCTGACCAAATCTACTTTTTACCCTCCCTCTGCACCGTCTGCACTGCTTGGCCTCTTTCTCCTCCCCTGCCTTCCTTCTCCCACTCCTCCTTTCTCCTCCCTTGGTTCCACGTTCCAGCTGGAGTCCCTCCATGTGACATTCAGTCTATAGGCGCAGGTATGATGGCTCCATCTCCTCCGGGCCGTCGCTCGTTTCATCAGTGAGGTCGTCCCACTCCGACCAGCAGGGGGGCAGTTTGCTGCTCTGTGGGCTCCACATATTAAACATTAATACACCCCTCCGTTATCCGTCTTTGCTTTATTTCTGCTGGGAAATAATAGCAGGTAATAAAAGCTGGGCTGCATGTGAGACAGTAAAACTTGAGACGCACATCCAGTGGAGCCCATAAAACCAACAAAGGCCCGCCTGCTTCTCGCCCACATTTCTCTGTATAGACTCTGAGACAAAATGCTGTATACACACTAAATACTAACAGTTACTACCTTTTTCTGAAACTGAGTCAAGCAGGTTTGCAAATTTAGCATTTGAGCATTTTGCTGCGATTCTGAGACCAACCCAACACACTTCCTGTTAGCTTGAGCAGGTTTTTGTGTGCGAAAATAATGAAGTTAGGCAAAAAATTTTATTGAAAACGTTGAACGTACAAACATGAGACTAGCCACGATTCCTTTAAGGAATGCTTATTGTCCGCCACATTTCACGTCAGAGTTTTAAACTGAGATCATTCAACGATGAGAGACGACGGAGTTGGAGCTGATCAACCCATAAAATTAAGATTTGTAAATTTGTAAAATGTGTGACTCAGTTTCTTTGTTCTGACATCATTAGGAGCAATAAGTCAAATAATTTAAGTTATATAATATAATTATAAGAATTATGAACTTTGATGAATTAGTGATGGATCTTCGTTTCATCTGTTTTGTTATCATTCTCTCCATTCAGATGTTTTTACAGTACCCTCCCCTCCAGGGTCATGTCATGTGTGTAAAAGTCCCCATCATCACCCCCTCCCCCACTGCGGTCAGTCACATCATTAACGCCGAGCGCTCCTTCCTCTGTGCCGCACAGTTGCCTGGTTCACCTTTGACCCGGCGTCCGCGCACCCAGACATCGTCTTCTCCAACGACAACCTGACGGTGTCGTGCAGCAGCTACGATGACCGGGTGGTGATGGGCAACACCGCCTTTTCCCGCGGCGTTCATTACTGGGAGATGACGGTGGACCGCTACGACAACCACCCCGACCCGGCCTTCGGCGTCGCCCGGGGCGACGTCCTGAAAGATGCGATGCTGGGGAAGGACGACAAGGCCTGGGCCATGTACGTGGACAACAACCGCTCCTGGTTCATGCACAACAACTCACACACCAACAGGTAGGAAAGTCGCATTCGTAACTCGCAATTTTTGCGCACGTGTTAAAAATTAGGTTTAAAAAGCCAAGAAAACAGGAAGCTTCATCGTCAGGGCTTTTACGGTTTAAGGCGGGCGATAATGTTTTCCGCTGTGCTTGTGTGTGTTTTGGATTAGCAAAATATCTCATACACCACTGGATATATTTTAATAAAACTCTCAGAAAGTAAACATTAGATGTACATGTACACAAGATGGCATCCACAGCAAACGCAGAAGTATGAAGATAAACGAGTCTCAAAAGTAGAAGCAAATGCTAAAACCAGTTTTTCTAATGTTCCCATTTCAGTTTGCACAAGTAGGAATGTTCTGTGCACGTAAGTTGTCAAATACGTGCACACAAATGACCTGCTGCGCACGGATCAGTCAACACAAGCGCACGGCTCAACCTGCCTCTAAAATGTGACTATAATTTCTCAGTAGTTTAATTTAATTATATATTGTGTGTATACACACACACTTATGTATATAAATAATGTAATATATATAGTGACTCAGTCAGTCGATCTGTATAAATAAAGGTTAAATTTAATTAAATAAATACATATATTGCCGATAAATTTCCCACAAAGAGAATAATCTGCTCATTTTAGGTTTATTTTAATCATACATTTCACAAAATTAACATTTTGGAATCCAGTAATATTAAGTAAGTGCATGTTTTTTAATGTAGGGTTTATGAGTTACTGTGTCAAGTTATAAATGTGTTTTTTCCCCAACAACTCAGTAAATCTGATACGGTCAGATGTCCCAGCTTTTCTTCAGCCTTGAATGCAGCATTACTCTTTGTGAATCCGTCTCAAACGTCACATTCACAGGCAGCTCGTGTTGACTGATCCGTGCGCAGCAGGTGGTTTGTGCACATGTATTTAACAATGTATTTGTGCAGAATAGTCCTACTTGTTCATTTTCAATGTGTACATTTGAAAAACTGTTTATGCATTTGTGAATCTTGTGTGACTAATGTATTTTTCAGCCTGTAAGTTGTGTTTTTTGCATAATTTGCATGCCTTATGACTTATAGGCTGAAGCGACGTATTTATGGATTTTTTCCCATATTTATAAACCAATTTTTGGCTGAGATATGACTGTTTTCATTCATTCTGACTGAAAAAAAATTTGAACAGTACCATTTTTATCCATTAGATGGCAGCAGATTAGTAGTAACAGTAAGGCATGTTGTTGTATCATGTAATAGGTAAACATGGCTATAAGGACAAATTCAAAAAAGTTCAAGACAAAAACAAATGGACTTTATTTATTTATTATACTTTATTGTTTTTGTATTGAACTTTTTTTTAATTTACCATGTCCTGGATGACTGAGAATCTTCATCAGCCATTAATGACACAATCAGCCTGCCATAGTCTCCCCACCTTCGTTCTGCTGTTGCACGGAGCATCAGTCAACCAGCTTCATTTTGCTGCACTGCCCCGGCGAAAGCAGATAATTTGATCATTAAAGTTCATTTATTAAGTAAAAGTTCAACTGAGACACACCTTTGCTATAATTTAGAGCAAACAAATAATTGTTTTTAAGTGTTAATCTTGTTAAATTCTTGTTAAAGCCCTCCTGTGCACGCTCCCGCAGCTGCCATTTCCACGTTTTTAGACATATTTGGACTGATGCGACTTATAGGGCGGTGCGACTTATAGGGCGGTGCGACGGGTACGGCGGAAATCACGGTCCTTTTGAGATTGATTTATCTCCATACAAACGGGACCTTAACTCTTGGTTTGGTAGTAGCTGAGACTGATCTTCATCGTATAGTCCAAGAGCTGCACATTGAACCATTCACAACGTGTCCTCTGAGATCAGGATCTCACAATACGGCACGAGGTCATAGCTGCAAATCCATCTATCAACATTAGACGCTCTTAGTTTGAAAATGTGGCATGACAGGAAACATAAGCATTTGTTTATGTTAGACCTTTATTTTCTTAAACTGTGTTCCTGTGCAGGACGGATGGTGGCATCGCTAAAGGCTCCACCATCGGGGTGCTGCTGGACTTCACACGAGGACTCCTCATCTTCCTCATCAATGATGAGCAGCAGGGTCCGGTCGCCTTTGAGGGCCTGGACGGCTCGTATTACCCCGCAATCAGCCTCAACCGAAATGTCCAGGTACGTAAATGACTGTGCTCGTGCTCAGAGGGAGGTCTGCTTCACTCCAGATAGTCGTTTCAGGGAATCAGAAATATTTCTGATGGTTTTATTCGGCTGATGCGTGAACTGAGACGCCTCTTCTGGTCGTCAGGCAGGCCGTTAACAAATGTGGGGTTTCAAACTGAGCGGAGGAAGCTGCTAGGTGCAGGAGCAGGGATTGTTTTTTAGCTGATGTCTCTGGGTGGGGGGAGGGGGGCACATATTCATCAGTTGAGGAAGAAGATCCACAGCCCCACCTGCAGGCAACATGACGCAAACATCTCACCATTTATGGTTTTTGATTGATTGATTGATTTTGGTGACTCTTTTCTTCAGATCACACTGCACACTGGTCTACCCATCCCTGATTTTTACACCCCTGGGGAGGCAGATCCAACCAGCTCTGTGTGCTAAAGACTCTCCTCAGCGCCTTGGAGGAAAACCAGGATTTCCCACATCTCCTCTTCTCGCCTCCCCCTGTCCATCCAAACCAATGACCCCCCCACAGACACTCCACGGACGGCAAGCCATTCAGTCCTGAGCCATATGTTGCAGAACTTTGGACATAAGATCACGAGCAGGACAATGTCCACGCATCCGGCGCTCTGCCACCCTGAAGGATTTCAACTGAGCTAACTTCAACAATCAAGACGGGAAATTAAAGGAATGTTTAGAGAGTTTGGTAAACGTGCTCATCTGTGTCTGGGTCAAGACTTTCAGTAAAACGGACGAAGAATGGAACTCCACCGTTTTAGTTTTGCAGACAGGAAAGAGTGAAGCTTTAGCTGCATCATCATCAGGAGACTGTGAATGTAAAGGTTTCCCAAAATGTCATATTCTTTCTATAAAAATGTGCTTCGTTCATGAATGGGTTTGTTAGAAACGGCAGAAATCTGATCTGAACTGATCTTTAGATTTTATCCTTCACGCTCACACCTTTGTTTCAGACTCATGACTGGTTTAAAACCCCGAGAGGAGAATGAGTCGGTGTTTGTCACTGTTTGAGCGGGGGTGAGTCGCGGACCAGAACTTTAGTTAGCCGTCTTATCCAGCTCCTCGTCTGTGTCCACAAACTGCTTTTTTCAGTGGCTTAGCTCAAGTGAAACGTCTACGTTTTTCAAAATGACAGCATTAATCGCTGCTGGAAGCCCGGCCTTTATTCTGCCTTTACGTGCAGTGATCTCTAAAACTGGAGCCAGGGAGCGGTTGTGGTTCTATGTTCATGTTACGTACAATAAATGGGTTAAAGACTGTAAGGATGTTTTTAAAAGGTGCTAAAGCAGCTTGCGTAGGTTTGGCTTTTTAAATTTTATTTTACTGTGATTGAATACTGGTAGTTTTGTAATATTGTTATGGAAATATTCTATCACGAAGAGGTGTATTGTTAAATAAGTTATTGATGTTTAAAGAGTTTTTCCAGTAAGATTTTATCATTTTACAAGTGTAAAGCTATAATAGCAGATAAAACTTTTTGCTTGAAAGGTTTAGTTTGGAAATTGTTGTTGAGTTGAAGAGGCTTTTTAGTTCGGTTTTCTACTAAATCAACAGAGAAGACGAGACACTCGGAGTTTGGTTGGCATCATGTTTTGGATCAAAAGTCTTTTCAGTTGAAAATAACTAAGTGAAACAAAATGCTAATGCTACCATAGAAACAGGACAAGCACAATGACTATTATGTATGAATAATTTCAATATGTGGAATTAAACTGTGATAGTTTGAGTCTAACTCTTCACTGAAAGTATGATCAAAAAACGCAACTTAAAAATGCTAACATTTGCTAACTAGCAAAACAATGTCTCGCTCTTTGCACAAAGTATGAAAGTGGGAAATCTATTGCCCATTAGCATGCTAACATGTGCTACATACTGACATGAGTCAGTATGTAGCACATGTTAGCATGCTAACATGTGCTACACATTGACTCATCAGTACTGTATCCATACTGACTCATGTCAGTATGGATACAGTACTGATGAGTCAATGTGTAGCACATGTTAGAATCAGAATCTTAATCAGCTTCATTGCCACTGCACCGAAGCGTAGTGAAATTACAATGTTAGGAAGCTAACGTGCTATATACTTTATCTAGAGCATTACGATGACAAACAGGAGCTCTATTAGTACAATAACGTATGCTAATCTAAATAAAAACTGAGTCCAGTATTAGAAATAAATCTTAGCAATAGTCAACAACTTGTCCTTTTGTGCCAAGTGTTGCTGTTATTTTTCTGCTGAAAGTACCTCATTCTTTCAAGTTGTTACTGAAAATCACCGCACCCGGTTAGGCAGAAACGCAACGTGATCTTTACATTTCTGTTTTTGTTCATGTGAAATAAAGAAGGAGAATCACAGTAAGAATGGAAACACCTCCGTCTGCTGCACAGCAATGGTCAGCTTCGCTGCAAACGACAAACTTTGTAAAACAATAAAATTAAACGAGCACCTTCTGACAGAGAATTTACTGCAGCTGAACCTGCTGCTGACTTGGTGAAAGGATGTCTGCAAGGGGCTTGCATCCAAGTGCAAAATATAACATGCCGACGGTCAGGTTGAAGGAAATATCGTTTCAGGCCTTCTGAAAGGTCGCCGTAGCCCTGAGATGTACGGTGCATATCTAGCATACGCATAAGGTGCTATCCTGTGTTTGAGCTTCATGGGTGTGCCTTTTCCTGTTTGTAGATCCCAGAACATTTAAGAAACTTTGCTACAAACCATCTACTCCTCCACAGAGTCAGCTGTAACATCTGCCTGCTGCTACACTTTTCTACCATCAAAGGGCAAATTTAGCATCACTCCAGTTTCCTTTGAAAATCAATGAAACATCAAGTTTCTTCACTAAAACGGCTGCACACAGTAAATATGATCATCTCCCACGTTGTGCTGCGTGTGCACGTGCACTGACAACAGCAACAGCTTCGAGTGTTTCAGCGTAAAACATTTAGTTGTCCATAATTACAAATACTGAACCATAACACCGTAAATGATTTTGTTACTTTGCTAAACAGACCAAAAGATGCATTTGGTTTTTTTTTCACACACACACACAATTTATTACTATAATATACAAATAATTTATTCACTATATTTTTTTAATAAATGAATTTTGTGCATTACATCTTTATTAAAATAATAAAATGAACATTCTGTTGAATTATCTAGCCATATTTAATATAAATTGTGCTTACAACTGACCCAAATGTGAACTGAACACCTGAAAAGGTTGACGTTTGGTATGATTGTAGTTCCTAAACCGCCTAAAAACTCTTTCACTTTGTTAAATCAAACAATAAAGAGCCCCACTGAACTTTTCATAATCAATAAAAATGAGCACCCAGTCGCCGGCCGACACTGGGTGTTGTATCTCTAATAGTGCATACAATGTGTGTCTGTGTCTGAGTGTGTGTCTGTTTCAAAATTTTAAAATATACTGACTTGGACAATGTGTCTCATGGGGTAACAAAAACAAGTATAGGTGTGTGTGTGTGTGTGTGTGTGTGAGAGAGAATTATTACATCAATAACTCCAAAGTGATTATTTGACCCTTCTTGAGGTGAATTAGTTTTATTCATGTTGACTCTGAGTCATCTCTGCAGAGAACTTTATGAATATAGAAAATAAATTGTTCTTACTATGTTTTCCACATATAGATTGCATTGATTGTCAAAATTTTATATGTATTATTGCCATATTACTCTTAATCTGATTATTTGAAGTATTTAATGAGCCTCTGTGTTTCTTGTATGTGTGAATATTCAATAAATAAACAAATAGGTGTGAACAAGACAATATGTTGTCTGGAAGATTGATTTGCTGCCTTGTTTGGAAAAAGAGCAATGATTAAACTTTTAAGCATTGTTCTTAACTCACATGTGAATTCCTTAACAAGAACTGGAACAGGAGACCACAAGGCAGAGACACACTAGGGAACACAATTCTGACACTTGTGTCTTTCCTTTTTGATAAATCCTATAGGAAGGGTTGGCTTGAGTTTCCTGAGCTATCCCTTAGTTATGCTGCTACAGACTTACCGTATTTTTCAGTATATAAGTCACACAATTTACATGCCCTGTGACTTATAGGCCGATGCAACATATTTATGGATTTCTTCCCATATTTATAAACCATTTTTTGGCTGAGATATGACCGTTTTCATTAATTCTGACTGAAAAAAAAAACCCCAGTAAATTTTCAGCCACTAGATGGCAGCAGAGTAGTAGTAGCAGTAAGGCATGCCATTGTATCATGTAATAGGTAAACGTGGCTATAATGACAAATTCAAAAAAGTTCAAGACAAAAACAACTGGATTTTATTTATTATATTTTATTGTTTTTATTCTTGAACTTTTTTGAATTTACAATGTCCTGGATGACTGAGAATCTTCACCAGTTTTTAATGACACAATCGGCTTGCCATAGTCTCCCCACCTTCGTTCTGCTCGCTGCTTGGAGCAAGTCAAACCAGCTGCACCGGCCCGGCGAAATGCAGCTGATTTGACCATTAAAGTGCATTTATTAAGTAAAAGTTCAACTGAGACAAACCTTTGCTATAATGTCGAACAAACAAATAATTGTTTTTAAGTGTTAATCTTGTTAAATTATTGTTGTTAAGGTCCTCCTGTGCACACTGCCGCCATTTGGCAGCCCATCGATTTTTGGCACAACACGGGCCCATATTTCTGGGTTGTCAGCGGTGATGCATAATAGATGCGACGTATACGGCGAAGTGACATTTATGGATTTTTCCACAATTTAGACATATTTGGACTGATGTGACTTATAGGACGGTGTGACAAGTACGGTGGAAAATACGGTAGAATGCTGGAGGACAAACTGACCACATTTCCTCCCTCTGCTTTTGTTTTTACTTGCACTACTCTACCTGTTTGTATTTGTAATTATTTATATCATTAATGTGTTTTTCCCTTTGTATTTTTGCTATAGAGACTACAACTGGACCAGCCATTTTGCATTTGTCTCAATTGCTTTCCTGTCTCTTTAACCCCAACCAGTCAAGGTAGATGGCTGCCCATCCTGAGTCTGGTTCTGCTGGAGGTTTCTTCTTGTTAAAAAGAAGTTGTTTTCTTTCCACTGTCGCTTGTGGGCTGCTTAGGATGGGAAATGTTGACAGTAGATACTCAACATAATCTGCTGGCGTCCTTAGTGATATGAGCCCTGCTTACTCAAACCTGTTGATCAATATCCTCTATTGATCCAAAGTCAGCCAGTTATTTCTCCTGTTGATGATCCAGTCCTTTTCTGGAGGTCCAAAGTCCACCCTTACTTATCGACTCCATCTAGACTACCTGCAAGCTTCAAATCACAATAAAAAAACTACTATTACAAGATCTATGGTTTTGCTAAATTAAAAAAAAAGATTAATTCAGGACCAGTGTTCTGTCAAGTCCAAAAGCACAAAAAGAGTTCTCTCTCTAAAGCTTAAAAATAAAAGTTCAACATAAAAGCAGATTCTCTTAACCCTCCCATCACCCCACAGCCATTAAAATGGCCCTACGAACAGAAGAGCCAAACAAATTATCTGCTTTCCCAGTCCAAATGCAAAAATAAATTAATGAAATAAAGGTTCAAAATGGTTAAAAGCAGAAGGCCTAGACTGTAACGGGGTTTATCAGGGTACCATAATGCTTTAAGCATGGATGAACTGTGGTACTTCAGTCCAAAGTTCATCTGTTCAGAGCGTTGGCAAGTGATCAGGTATAGGAACTGGATTCCCTAAGTTTCCATTTTTAGGCCTTTGGGGCCTTTTAACACTTAAATAACTTTTATTAGTTGGCATTTTATGATGCATGCGAATGTTTTTGTAGAGCCCTGAGATGACTTCTGGTGTGAATTGAGTTGAACTGACTGTTGGAGACTATATATATATCCATCCATCCATCCATTATCTTTACCCGCTTCTTTCTTTTCGGGTTGCAGAGGTCACTGGTGCCCATGTTCAGCAATCACTTTGCAAGAAGCGTGGGACACACTGGACAGGTCTCCAGTCCATCACAGAGACACATCGAGACAAACAACCATTCACTCTCTCACTCAGACCTAGGGACAATTTAGAGTTACCAATCAGCCTAACATGCATGTTTTTGGTCTGTGGGATGAAGAGTACCCGGAGAAAACCTACACATGCATAGCAAGAACATGCAAACTCTACCCAGAAAGGCCCCTGGACCAGGATTTGAACCAGGGCAACCTTCTCGCTGAGAGACAACAACTCTACCAGCTAGTAAAAACAATTAGTATAATCATTGATTTTGATGTGTAAAAAGTAACAGAGAACGTCAAATAAGACAGATAAAACTCTTGCTGAGGAACTTGCAACCAAGAAAATATGCCTGCTCTGACTGGACTTAATGTTCTGACTGAAACTGGCCCTTGGTTTGAAATAACTTTTTGATTTTGGCCCCCTTATGTAACTGAGTTTGCCACCCCTGAGCTGTGTTGTATGGTGGAGACAGAGACATGGACAAAAAGACAAGAGACAGATCTGGAAGTGGCAGAAATTAAGATGTTGAGGTTCTCCTTAGGGGAGACAACAATGGATAAGATAAGGAATGGACTGTAAATGGTAAATTGACTGTACTTATAGCATCTTTCTATTTTATCAAGATACTCAAAGCTCTTTCCTACACAATCTGTGCCTCATTTACCCATTCATACAGCACTCTACTATATCTATACAAAGACTAATCAGAGCTTTATCACATTCACACATTAGAGGCAATGAGGGGTTCAGTGTCTTGCCCAATGCCCAGGGACACTTCATTATATGACTGCTGGTAGAATCGAACCCCCAACTCTCCCATTGGAATATGTCTGCTCTAACCAATTAGCCAAAGATGCTCCAGGAATAAAGATCATCAGAGGTACAGCACAGGTTGAACAACTGGGAGATAACGTTAGAGAGGCCAGACTGAGATGGTTTTGACATGTCCAGAGGAGGGACAGTGGGTGTATTAGTAGAAGGATGTTAAAAATGCAGCTGCCAGGAAAAAGACAAAGAGGAGATATATGGATGCAGTAAGAGAGGGTATGGAGGTAGTTGGAGTGAGGACAGAGTGAGATGGAGGAGGATGCCTTGCTGTGGAGACCCCTGAAGAGGGCACAGCCTAACAAAGAAGAACAATGAAGACCTTTGTAAACACTCTTTAGAGTCCAGACTATTGCATCAGATGTTTATAAGTCACCCTCTGGGAGTGAAAATGGACCCTTCCATGAAGCTAAACAGTCATGTAAACACGATTGTTAAATCATGTTGTTGTTTTTCCAGTTGAGGCGACTGTCTAAAGCCCATACTGTCCAAAACTAAGCTTGAGACAGTAATACATGCTTTCATAACATCCAGGCTTGATTAATGCAATGCTCTTCTTTCAGACATTTGCAACTGGTTCAAAATGCTGCAGCCTGATTTTTAACGGGTACAGGCAAAAGAGAACACATTACTCCAGTTCTGGCCTCCCTTCACTGGCTCCCGGTTCACTTTCAAATTCCTTTTAAAATCTTTCTGTATGTTTTAAAACTCTGAAAAGTTCTCCCCCCTCCTATCTCAAAGATCTGCTGCAGCCATATTTCCCACAGCACTCTCTGAGGTCAGCAGATACATTTATTGGTTCCAGGCACTCCTTTTAAGCTCAGAGGTGACAGAACCTTCTCTGTTGCAGGTCTAAAAACTATGGAAAGAGTTACCACTGCATGTCAGGCAGGCTCCCTCGCTGGAGCATACAGGATCAAAACACAGATCATCTGGTGTTGAAAGCTACAGAATAGTAGTGAGTTTTTAAACGGGACTTGAAAACCGAGAGGGAGGGGGCCTGTCTGACAAGCAGAGGTAACTCGTTCCAGAGTCTTGGTCCTGCTACAGAGAAGGTCCTGTCACCTCTGCGCTTAAGACGAGTTCCTGGAACTGTGAGGAGCAACTGGTCCGCTGACCTCAGGGAACGTGGTGGGACATACGGTTGTAGTAGGTCAGAGAGATGGGGGGAACTGTTCAGTGATTTGTAGACATACATCAGTATTTTGAACTGGATTCGAAAGTGAACCGGTAACCAGTGCAGTGAGGCCAAAACTGGTGTAATGTGCTCTCTTTTGCCTGTACTGGTTAAAAATCGGGCTGCTGCATTCTGGACCAGTTGTAGTCGTGTAATGGAGGTCTGACTGATACCAAACAGGAGCGAATTGCAGTAATCAAGCCTAGAAGTAATGAATGCATGTATTACTGTCTCCAGGTTATTTTTGGACAATATGGGCTTCAGTTTAGACAGCCGCCTCAGTTGGAAGAAACATGATTTAACAATCATGTTTACATGATTGTTAAGTTTCAGGGAAGGGTCCATTATCACTCCCAGATTAGTGACTCTTTGTTTTTCTGACAGGGTTAGAGCGGAGAGGTCGATGCAGACTTTACACAAGCTGCAGCGCTACATTCATAATTCTCTCTTTTTCAGCTTATGAATTTCTTGAGTGTCATCCTGACTGGGTTCATGACTGACTGGTAAACAACATAACAGTAGTGTTTTTAAGGTGCAATGACCAAACGTGATGCATAGCCTCTGTAGTTGAGAGACGTGTGTGTGGTGTTCACCTACCTCTGTGATAAGAACGACGGTTTTCTGGTCATTGACTCTGAAAATCTGCAGGTCCTGCACCCATCCATTAGTAAATTGAAGGTGAGCTTTGAGAGATTTATAATTCCTGAACTGTTCGAGTGTGTAGGCGCTAGCTAAATAAATCTGGAAACTTTAATGGCGGCAACTCGTTCAAATCACTTGTCCACGCACGGTGTTCGTATGGATCAAGCACATATTACCCTTATTTTCTTAATGTAGCGCTCCTTTGCATCTTTGTTTAGATTTTCACAGTACAGAAATTTGAACTTGCTCTTCGCACGCTCCATTTATGTTCTGTTCCTTGTGTTTTCCCTGTCCTAAAACATGGCTACCGCTACCCAGAATGCAATGCGCCAATACGTAGTTGTTGCGCATTCTCTTAAAAAAAAAAAAAGTTCAGCTTCGACGTCGCGTGAAAAGTTACATTATTTGCACCAAAGGCTTTCCATACATCTGAACCGTGCGCAGCGATTCGTGCACGCGCATTAAAGTTTACGTCTTTGTCACTGCTGTGGAGAAAACAGCGCACGTGAGGCTGATCATTTGTGTGTTTCTGTCCGTGCAGGTTGATGCGTGGACGTTTCTGTGAACATTTGGAGACGTGTTGTGGAAAAATGCGGAAGTGAGCGAAGTCTTTGTGATTTAAAGTGAGCTCCGCAGAGTTGTTGTGTGTTGCAGCTGACAGGAAGCACCTCCTCCTGCAGCCTCCAATCAAACCCAGCGCGAGGAGGAGACTCCTGCATGAAACCTGCTGCTGCAGGGAGGCCCACGTTCAGTCCGAGAAGTTCTGCAGGTCCGCAAACACACCCTCCGAGCATGGCGACTCCTCTCACCGACCAGGAGAAGCGCAAGCAGATCAGCATCAGGGGGATCGTGGGGGTGGAGAACGTGGCGGAGCTGAAGAAGGGCTTCAACCGCCACCTGCACTTCACCCTGGTCAAAGACAGGAACATCGCCACTCCCAGGGACTACTACTTCGCCCTGGCCCACACCGTGAGGGACCACCTGGTGGGGAGGTGGATCAGGACCCAGCAGTTCTACTACGAAGCTGACCCAAAGGTACGGCCCAGAGGAGTCCTGAGGAGCAGGGACATGTCCTCCCTGTGTGTCCTCTGGAGGACACATAGGCTCCTCCACACCAAACATCTCAGTCCCAGCTGTGCTCCAAGAAGTTTTAAAGTTTCTTCTTGTTTCCAGAGGGTGTACTATCTGTCCCTGGAGTTCTACATGGGCCGGACTCTGCAGAACACCATGATCAACCTGGGTCTGCAGAACGCCTGCGATGAAGCCATCTACCAGGTGAGACCTTGGGCTCACAGAGGCCTGACCTCCACCGCTGCACACACAACCTGTGAATGAACCCAACCGAATGTTTACATACACCCTGTCACAGAGATTTCTGATGGCTCAAAACCAGAACAATGAAAAATAATGTTCTTTACATCGTTTGTGATGAGTTTCTCCACAGTCCCAGGTTCCCATGTTTGTCAGTGCTCGGTGTGGTTTGGTCCAAAGTGTCTGACTCGGGTCAGATGTTTTGGGTTTCTGCATCAGTTTGTTGGACTTTAGTCCTGGTCCTCCTGACAGAACTGGTGGACCTGAGTCAAGTTTGTTGTCTTTTCTATATGGGGCTAAGATCAGGACTTTAGGACAGATGCTCCAGAACATGGATGTCCATCCATCATCTTTACCCACGTCTTTTGTTTTGGGTCGCGGGGGTCACTGGTGCCCATGTCCAGACATCACTGTGTGAGAGGTAGGGGACACCCTGGACAGGTCTGCAGTCCATCACAGGGACACATAGAGACAAACGAGACAAACCATTCACTCTCTCTCTCTCTTTTGTTTGTTTACCTTTATGTGTCTGTCTGCTGAGAGACATTGTCCATTAGAAGACACATTTGTGTCCCAGCTTGAACTTCCTGGTTTTCAGGTGTTGGTTCAGTGTTTCCACATCATGATCTGTCCTCATGATGCCGTCTTTTTTTGTGAAGTCCACCAGTCCCTCCTGCATTAAAACAGCCCCACATCATGATGCTGCCACCCCCGTACATCATAGCTGGGATCTCAGCGTCCTCCTTTGTCCTCCAAATGTAACGATGGACATAAAGGACAAACTGTTCAGTTTCCTCAGACCACTGGACATGTCTCCAAACTTTAAGGTCTTTGTCCCTGTGTGCATTTATAAACTAATCTAGTTTTTATGTTGCTTCTGAAGTGATGTGTTGTCCTCACTGAGTGTCCTTTCGGTCCGTGTTGGTCCAGGATTAACCAATCAAAAGCTTCCAAAGCCATGACATCATCATCTGAGCTTTACAAAACTGTTTAAAGTCTTGCAGTCTTACTCAATGTAAACTTGTATTATTTGCACATTATTTGTCTTTTTAACAAAAATAAATAATTTGTGGAATCCTAGAACCGTAAAGTCTGATTCGATGTCAGCCATGTTGGATCTTCCACTCGGTGTATGTAAACATCTGGTTTTACCCGTGTGCTGATGTGAACTGCTCTGCTGCAGCTCGGCCTGGACATGGAGGAGCTGGAGGAGGTGGAGGAGGACGCGGGGCTGGGGAACGGAGGTTTGGGCAGACTGGCAGGTAAAAGGGCTGCGGCGCCTTCTTGAACTGGTTTTACTCCTAAAGGTCATCAGTTTTAGACAACAAACAGCGATTACTACTAGCTAGTTTCAATGTGCTGATCCTGGCCTTCGGCTGCTGTGATGTGTTAACTTCTACCTGCTCACAAGTACTGTAGAAATGTTAATATGTACATTATACTTCCCTGACACTGCCCAGTACTACAGTAAATATGCAAATGATATGTATTCTGCCATCACTGCACTACCTCTGTCTTAATTTGTATTCAGTGGTTACTGCTAGCTTAGCTGCTGCCTTGCTGGTCTTAGCCTTTAGCTCCTGCCTTGCTGGTCGTAGCCTTTAGCTCCTGCCTTGCTGGTCTTAGCCTTTAGCTCCTGCCTTGCTGGTCGTAGTCTTTAGCTGCTGCCTTGCTGGTCTTAGCCTTTAGCTGCTGCCTTGCTGGTCTTAGCCTTTAGCTGCTGCCTTGGTGGTCTCAGTCTTTAGCTGCTGCCTTGGTGGTCTCAGTCTTTAGCTGCTGCCTTGCTAGTCTTAGCCTTTAGCTACTGCTTTGGTGGTCTCAGCCTATAGCTGCTGCCTTGCTGGTCTTAGTCTTTAGCTGTTTCCTTGCTGGTCTTAGCCTTTAGCTGCTGGTCTGCTCCTCGTGTTTTTTTCTGATCATTTTAGCTGTAATAACTCTGTTCCATGTTTCTGTCATCTTAAACCTTTCCTCTGAATTCTTCCATTTCTGCAGTTTGAAGCTGAAATGTTCTTCTTTTTTCGGCCACAGCCTGTTTCCTGGACTCCATGGCAACACTCGGCCTTGCAGCGTACGGCTACGGCATTCGATACGAGTACGGCATCTTTAATCAGAAGATCAGAGACGGCTGGCAGGTAAAGCAGCTGTGAGGTCAGGGAGCGACAGCCTCTCTTATCGTCCTGAACTTTAAGATTTCCACGTCAAAGTCTAATGAGGTCAACGTAAAACCAGACTGGCTCAGAAAACAGCTCCAGCTAATGATTGACACGAGCTGCGGCTGCAGCGTGTTGCGCTGCCGAAGTGGCGTAAGTTCCTCAGAAGCCGACTTTTGTTGGCTTTAGATGACAAAACAAACATTGCATATTTTGAGGTCAGAGGTCACAAAACTGCAGGCTTTTGCTCTTTTGTGTCCCGCCGGCTGTTGGCAGTTCGGCCACTCGGTGTAAACACGTCCCTCTGAACTCTGAACCTGCTCACACACACACACACACACACACACACACACACACACACACACTCTGAACCTGCACACACACACTCTGAACCTGCACACACACACTTGGTGTTTATACTCACGACACCCAGCTGCTGCTGAGAGCTACTGACTGAAAACAGCGTCTTGTTTGCGCCGTTAGGAGAATGTCCTCACTCGAACGTCCTCACTCGAACGTCCTCACTCGAACGTCCTCACTCTTGCTCCTGTCTGACTTGAGTCTCCAGGAGGAAGAGCTCAGATGTGTGTTTCACTCCCTGACTTGGGTTTAATGTCTTTGTGACCTTTGCTGCTGCAGGTGGAGGAGGCCGATGACTGGCTGAGGCACGGGAACCCCTGGGAGAAGGCTCGGCCCGAGTACATGCTGCCCGTCCACTTCTATGGACACGTGGAGGAGACGAGAGACGGGCCTCGATGGGTGGACACCCAGGTGTTTACTGAAAACTCCACGAGGGTTTTTAAAAATGCATGAATAGTTTCCTCAAATGATTAGGGTGGCCGAAGATTCATCTGTGGTGGCTGAGACCACCAGTGGCCACCCCCTGGTTCAGCCATTGAACCTGGAGGTGGATAAAACCGATCCCTACACTCACCAGGATCCGTAGCTCTGCAAAAAATAAAAAAACACTTTCCTCTGTTCTTCTCCACAGTGGAACTTCTACCCACTTGAGTTGCACCAAAAACATTTAGGTTTATTTTAAATCCCTGTTCCCTGGGGGGAGTGGTGGTGCAGAGGTTAGAGAAGGTGGGCGTGTGATCGGAAGATCGCCGGTGCAAGCCCCGGTACCGACAACATCAAAAATGTGGGTGGGGTAGGTGAAGCACCCACACCTGCCCCCACCCTCATTCGCCCCACCCTGGGCCCATGAGCAAGGCCCTTAACCACCATTTGCTCCTAAACAGGTCTCTCTTGAAAATGAGTTCTCGTGGCTCAATGAGACTACCTGGATAAATAAAGGTAAATGAAAAAAATAAATAAAAATGTTCAGTTCTAGAGAAACACTCCTCTTGAAAACTACAAACATTCAAACCCGTCAGCGACGGGGGACATCGGTTGTGTTTGATAGGGCAGCCATCTTAAATTGGGTTGACTCCAGTGGTTCCTCAGATGTCCATCTGAAGATTACTGTCTGTTTATTTCAGATGGTTCATGAGATATTTTGCTAAAAAAACAAATGTCTATGGCAGCAGTTGAGAATGAACTCCTCTAATTAACTTGGCTCCTCTAATCTGTGGTGTTCCTCAAGGGTCTATTTTAGGTCCACTGCTTTTTAATCTTTACATGTTGCCTTTGAGGTCCATTTTTAGAAAATATAACATCCCTTTTAATTGTTTTGCTGATGATGTTCAGTTGTATCCGGGTCTCAACAGTGGTGGTTAAAAGTAAATTTCTTATTTTATTGTTGTGTTTAATTAACTTTCTTGTGTTTCCTGAGTGGCACAAGATGTTTTTTGTTTTTTTCTAATTTGGCTCGGTTGTAAAGCACTTTGGTCAGCTTTTGTTGTTTTTATGTGCTATAGAAATAAATTGACATTGACACCTATGGCAGTTGAGAATGAACTGGCTCACGTGGGCCTTCCTGGTTTGTTGTGGCTTCCTGACTGGGACTGTTCTCACCTGGCAGGTCGTCCTGGCGATGCCGTACGACACGCCCATCCCCGGCTACATGAACAACACGGTGAACACCATGAGGCTGTGGTCTGCCCGCGCACCCAACGACTTCAACCTGAAGGACTGTGAGGACTTTGTCACTAAAAGAAAATACAACAGTTTCAGAGTTTCCTTAAAGTTTTCAACAGATGAAGCTTCACAAGACTGAAGGAAGCTGCTGTAACTGTGGTTCTTCCTGTCTTTGTCTGACTGTAGTCAATATAGGAGATTACATCCAGGCTGTTCTGGACAGAAACTTGGCAGAGAACATCTCCCGGGTGCTCTACCCCAATGACAACGTGAGCTCAGCCTTTGTCCGTCAGACGCTCCACGTGCCCCTCACACACGTCGGTCTGAACGAATCCTCTGCTCTGAATGTGTCACAGTTCTTTGAAGGGAAAGAGCTCCGTTTGAAGCAGGAGTACTTTGTCGTCGCCGCCACACTCCAAGACATCATCCGCCGCTTTAAGACCACCAAGGAGGGCAGCCCCACCCGCACCTCCTTCGAGAACTTCCCAGACAAAGTAAGCGTCACGATCTTTGCTGTTTGCAAACGTGGTTGCTACTTTAGAGTGGAACATTACCACACTTTGATTTTGTAACATTGCGTCAGCATTTATTCTCCTTTTTTTTTTTGTACTTCTTCTGCACAAACTTGCAGGACTGGCATGGAACCATTCATGGCTTCATGTTGGTGAAAACAGATAAAGGAAGTGACGAAAAGTCAGAGCTCACCAGCTTTAAAAATGTTAAATATTGTAAGGAATGTGTTTTTATTAGGTTAGTTCATCTTTTACAAATCACCTATTGTCGAAGCTTCAACATTCACATTTGAAACCCGTGCCTTCGTGTAGAAAGTTGTTTTTCTCTGCAAAAAGAAGCTGACTCTTGTTTACTGATTTTTTTTTTTATTTAAAGCTATGTGTGAAAGATGCTATGCTAAAGAGCTCAAACCACACCGAGCGTCCGCCATTTTGAGAAAAGAAAAAAAGGAAAGAGAGACAGTTCATGTCACGTCAAGGGTCTTCTCTCCTATTTTTCTTAGAGACACGCCGCTCGCTCCCTCACTATCCATCCTTCCGTTCAAACTGTATTATACTGCCATTCACTGGTCAAAAAAAGGTACTACACACAAAACAAATTAACTAACATTTCTTCTTAAATTTGACAATAATTACTAATTATTGTCAAATTTCAAACAATATTATCGTTTATCACAATAATTTCTGAGACAATTAATCGCCCAGCAACATTAGTTATCGTGACAGGTCTATCGTTAAGTTCCACCAAAACAAGCTGATAGTTGTTTTATTCCCTCATTGTGGTCCAAACGGTGCACGCCTGGGTCCAAACACCTGTTCATACCCTGAGCGTTGTGTTGGAGCAGGTGACTGTAGACCTCCATGTTTCCAGGTTGCCATCCAGCTGAACGACACTCATCCTGCCATGGCCATCCCCGAGCTCATGAGGATCTTTGTGGACATTGAGAAACTCGAATGGGACAAGGTGGGATTTTATTTTCATGTCTTGTTGGGAGGGGGTGGAATGGCGGCTCAGTTGGTAGAGCTGTTGCCTCTCGGCGAGAAAGTTTCTGAAATGGTTGTTTGTCTCCATGTGTCCCTGTGATGGACTGTCCAGGGTGTCCCCCGCCTCTCACACAGCGACTGCTAGACATGGGCACCAGTGACGCCCGTGACCTGAAACGGAAGAAGCAGGTACAGATGGACGGATGGAAAAACTCTTAAGAAGATCCATTCATCCATCATCTTTACCCACTTCTTTCTTTTCAGGTCACAGGGGTCACTGGTGCCCATGTCCAGCAGTCACTGTGTGAGAGGCAGGGGACACCTGGACAGGTCTCCAGTCCATCACAGGGACACATAGAGACAAATGAGACAAACAACCATTCACTCTCTCTCTCACCTAGGGACAGTTTAGAGTTACCAATCAGTCTAACGTGCATGTTTTTGGTCTGTGGGAGGAAAAGTACCTGGAGAAAACCCACGCAGCACGGAGAGAACATGCAAACTCCACACTGAAAGACCAGGAGGCAAACCTGCGATCTTATCTCTGAGAGGCAACAGCTCTACAACTGCACCACCGTGCCGCCACAAGTTAACCAAGTCGTTACTTCAAACAAGCAGAAAAGAAGCTAAAATCAGCTAAACTGTTTCTAAAAGCTAAAATTAGCGAAGTCATAGCTTTGATCTAGATTTAGAATTATATTTTTAAGGGACATGAAGAGAGTCTAATATGATTCTACGGAGAGAACGTTTTAAAATAAACTAAATCAAAGTTTTAAAATGCCGCGAGTCGTCGTTCACTAGACCCAACGGAGCAGAGCAGGTTGATTGAATCTGATGTTGGTAGTTTGACTGCAGGAGTGTGAGGAAGAACCTAAACAGGAACCATTAAACACTGAATCACACAATCAGGAAGTTCTGGACAAGTCTGAGCAGGTCGGATGACTGCGGTCCAAACCACGGGGAGGGACAGGAGAAACGGACACCTTTTAATGTCGTATGAAACGTGAAAGTTGTGATGTGAACGAGTTGATTTTTATTGAGTGCTGGTTGGTCCTTTGCAGGCCTGGGACTTGACCCGGCGCACGTTTGCCTACACCAACCACACAGTCCTGCCCGAGGCTCTGGAGCGCTGGCCTGTGAAGCTGCTGGAGAAGCTGCTGCCCAGACACCTGCAGATCATCTACCAGATCAACCAGACCCACCTGGATGTGAGGACGGCTCTTTTCATTAACGGGACGTTGTGTTTACTGCTTCTGCTCACTTTGTGCTGTTTTATCAGTTCATATGTCAAAATGTTGTGCTGAGACTTTTGTAATTGTTCATCACTAGACAGCTCAGAGGTCACGGTCACAAGTCAAGGTCAAATGTTATACAAGGTCTTTGATCTCCATGCTGTTGCTATAGATTTCTGAATATTAGTCTTGTTAACTCACCTTCCTCTTGGTTGCACCAGTGATTTGTGAGCCGTGCTGCTGTGTTGTTGTTGCTTTCTGCAGAAAATCGCAGCTCTTTTCCCAAAAGACATGGACAGACTGAGGAGGATGTCTCTGATTGAAGAGGACGGGTGTAAGAGGGTGAACATGGCACATCTCTGCATCGTAGGTTCGCACGCTGTCAACGGAGTGGCTCAGATCCACTCCAACATCATCAAGACTGAAATGTAAGCCCCAGGTCTGACTGACGGACCCGCTGGTGTCCCTTCAGTTTTCTAAAGCGAGGTGCAAACTTTGGTTTCTGCTCCTCAACTTTTCACCCGAACAGCATGTCATCATGTCGCATGACGACATGATGACATGCTGTTCATGTTGTCATGCAACATGACATGCTGTTCATGTCGCATGACGACATGATGACATGCTGTTCATGTTGTCATGCAACATGATGACATGCT